AAAAATGGTAAGGCTGGAAAAAGTGCCTCTGACAGCTTGTATAAGAGGACGTTTAATTGATTATAAAAACCAAACTATAACAGTTGTGCTTTTAATTAGAATGTGGAATTCACTTAAGATTGACTGAAGGCTTTGGGGGAAGGGGATTTGTATGTTTTCAGGCTATGTTTAATGATGTATAAGAGTAAGAATTCTACTTCCGGTTCTAGGAATATAGGCTTCTTTGATGAAAAGAGCCTATATTTCTAAGACGAAATTAGCCTTAATGTCTATGGTCAGCAACATCATTCCCATAATCCTCAAATGTGTGTGTGATGTTTCCTGCAGTCCCATAGTAACCTTGTGAGGTTGGCAGGTTAGAGATTATTGCCCCTGTTAAAAAATGTAAAAAATCAGGATTGAGTGAAAATAAATAACACCAGATCGCCCAGGCTGTGAGAGATCCAGATCTAGAACCTAGATTTTCTGTCCTGAGTTTCAATAATTCTCACATTGTACCCTCCCTCCACTATTGCTTGCTTGAAGCTCACAGTAGCCTCCGGAGGCTGGCCTAGATGGATCGTGATTCTAACCCAGGTGACATGTCAGATACTCCAATATCCAATTTCCCACCATTAGTCAGCAGTCACTGAATGGAAGTTCAGAATGTCACGAGAACCCAACATCGATCTCTCAATTAAAAAGCAAAGCTCCCCTGGGAGCTAAACTTACAGATAATTGCTTTTCTTGTTTTAACTGTGTCTACCAGTCCCTACTGCAGAAGGTTGTTGGAGTGTTTAAAAGATAGATACATTGGCAAGCATTATGCTCTTTCTAAACCCAGAGGAGATTACTGGAGGAGCTAAAAATGCTTTGGCCACAACCACCTGAAAACTAAAAGGGCCTTTGGGTGATGTGACATTAGTTCTTCCTTTTGGAAACCTTTTGAGCTCCCGGAAAGTTAGAGAGAAAACTATAATATAATTGTGCAAATATAAAAAGAAACATTGGAAAGCCATAATTCTTATGGTCTTACCGGATCTTTTTAAAGGATATATTATAGTGTATCTGTTGTGCTGTTGCTGGACCTACTCCTGGTCCTGCAACACGTTAGGGGCACAGCAAACCAGCCACCTGTCTCAGCAACTCATTTTGGTTTCTGCTAAGTATTTTGGGCTCCGTGTATATAGAAGAAAACAAGAAGACAGGCTCTGAGGAAGCAAAGTGAACATCTCTACCATGACTCATTAAGTCTCCAAACTCAAGTGGAAGGAAAATGATGAGGTAATTGACTGCATAATCACCATCGACACCCATCTTTACCCTCTTCCCCTCTTCTAAAGGATGACCTTTCTCTTCTGCCTGAGAACAATGCCTCCACTTCCATATTGCCCCATCCCATCCATCTCCTACAACCCCTCTCAGATACGCTCCTCAATCTACCACCCATCCCCTTGGATGTCTTTCACATTTCCTTTTCTCTGGACCTAGACCCTCTGCCTAAAATCTTGGTCAAGTTTGCCCTTTACTAAGAAGCAAAAATCAATAATATAAATTCCTTCTCTCTATCTTCTCTTCTATCCCTAATTTTTTGGCTCTCTTCCTCCCTTCTCTGCTTCACCACCAATCTTCTGGAAATTAGACCTCACATTTGCTGTTTGTCCTTTTCATTTCCCCACCTCACTGCAGCAGGGATTCTTGCCACAGAGCTGCAATATTCATGGTACCTCCTTTACCAGCAATGCTGACGGCTCCACTTCTCCCTTGGACCCTGTGACATCACTCTCTGTATTTTTCCCACTACTATGGCACTTTTTTAAAAAATCATTTTCTGATATTTTCCTCCTTAAAAAAGTGTGACTTTGCCTTTTCTGTCCTTAGTCCCCTACCAGTTTTGCCAAAATACTTTATCCAAACTCAGTGGTCGATGTGGTCCTCAGGTTATTGCATGTTTTTGTTCAATATACCTGCTACCTGGAATATTGTCCCTCTTCTTCTCCTAAGAAAGTATTGCTTTTGCTGGACACCCTCCATAGCTCTGAAAAAGTTTATTTCATTCTGCCCTCCAAATGTCTTTTTCATAAAACAGGGTTTTTGTTATATATCTACATCATGGAAATTTCCCTCAATTTCTTACATTTGTTGTTCAGATCAGATGACGGCAATCTCCATATGGCTCCTATTATCCAGTTACCTGACAAAAAACTCCTGGCTCATAATGTAATTAGCATCTTGTAAATTCACATTTACATCAACACGCATAAGATTAACTTTTTATCTCTGGGAGAAAGAGTGATAATTGAAATACAAGGATAATGTGGTGGTATAGTAATAATCATTACCAGTTTTCTCATCCGTAAATCCAATGAGACAAGTAAAGGACCTATTCTCAAATACCTCACAAGATATTTAGAGGATAAAAATAATAATGGGTATGAAAGTTCTTCAAAAGGAAGTATGTTCTAGACATGTAAATTACTAAATGGAAGGTAAGTTTTCCTTCACGTACTTACATATAGTACTTTAGGATCCTTGTTCAGGATGTGGAAGGGAGAGGAAAAGTGAACAAAAATATAAGAGCATGGTATAATGGAAGGAACGATAACTGGAAAATGAGATCTGGATGTCAGTTCCTGCTCTACTACTGCCTGTATGTGAGATCCTAAGAAAGACAGTTTACCTGTCAGGATCTTCTTTTTTAGCAAGTGAAATTTGAAAAGTCTTTTCTAGCCTCAATATCTTACAACTTGATGATCAGTAGAAGAAAGTGGGTGAGATATAACATTTATCATATAGTTCTTTATTATGAAGTGTTTTTTGTTTTGATTTGTTTTGTTTTGTTTTTTGAAAATATTTCCTAGTTCTTTGGGCCCTCTTTTCTTCCATCTCTTTAAGTTGGCAAACCCCAAACTTGACTTAAACCAGCTGTCTTCCTACTCCATTCTGGCAGCTGAACACTGGAAAAAAGATCACACAAGAAAGCAGTGTGGTTTCACCTTCTTAAATTCATGATTTCAATGATCAAATGGCCGCTCAGTACTTCCAAGATATCATAGTATTTGTTCTGGCAGGATAGCCTTCTCACTTCCAGATATGACAATTTTATAGCTTTCCTCTGCCCTCAAACTTCCCACATTTCCTCCCTAAGCCTTCCTCTTACATGATGACCTCTTTTCATACTCCATTGAGAAAACAGAAGCCATAGACACAAACTCAGTCATCTTCCTAAGATTAACTATGACAGCTACAGCTGCAGTTTTTTTCTTCCGCCTTCCTCCTGTTAAAAAGAAGTGTCTTTGCCTTTACCAAAGCTTAACCTCTCCCCTTGTGCTCTGTATCCCATTCACTCTCACTTTCTAAAAGACTTTGCTCCACCGATTTGCTCCTTACTTACAAATGCATCATCAACACATATCCCCTCTGTGTTGGAGCATTCTCATAAGCATACAAAGGTAGGGAAAACGCTTACCTCTCTAAACTTACTATCCAATCCAATTTATCTGGCCGCCTTCAGTCTCCAGCATCCATGCAACAAAATGTAGAAGCATATTTTCTGCCTTCATTGTAATCTCACAACAGCTTTTGACACAATCAACAATTCTCTTGAAACACGAATGCTGCTATTCTATTTCCTCCTGGTTTTTATCCTACCTCACTGACTCCTCCTTTTCACTCTTTTCTCCCAGCTTCTCCTATTCTGTCAGACCTAAGGGAAAGAGGGTCTTAAAACCCAGTGTGGATGTTCATCTATGTCTCTAATCTCTGTGTAGGCTATCTCATGCATTCCCGTGGCATTGAATGCTATCTACATTCAGATAACTCCTAAATCTATACCTAGTCCAGCCTGTTCATTCTGGGCCATGTACTCTCAGATGTAGCCATCTGCCTCTCCTCTTCATGCAGAATTTTTATAGCCATCTCAAATTTAATACAAATTTAACTTATGTTTCTTATACACTTTCTCTCTACATAATTTTCACCATCTAAGTAAAAGACACAATTTAGTCAAACCAGAAACCCACAAGTCATCTCTGATAGTTGACATTTTATCACTCTTCAAATCTAATATGTCAGTAAGTCCTGGCACATTTGTGTCCAAGATCTATCTTGAATCTGTCTTTTCTTCATCTTTTCTGCAACTACACAATTCAGGTGTAACTTATTATCTCTTACCTGGTTCACCAAAATAGTCTCTTAACTTTCTCACACTGTGCATGAATTTTGCCCTCTAATTCATTTATCAAACAACAGCAAAAGTGACTTTAAGCTCTAAATTTGACCACTACACCTTAAAACCCTCCAGGGGATTCCTACAGTATTTAAAAATCTGAATTCCATAACCTGAATAATCTGGCCCTTTCCCATTTCTCCTATTTTAATTTTTCTCACACTCAATTTTTCCTTGCTCAAGGGCTATTCCCTCCACCTATAATAATATTCTCCTCCCCTCCTCCACTTCCAATTCCTGAATTGTTGTCTCCTCTTTTTTTTTTAAGGTTTCAGTTGTTTAGGCTTTTCTTGATCAACCCAACCAAAACATCCTTCCCCCATACACATAAACACACATATATAGCCATATTTCCTATTTTAGATTCTTGTTACATTCATAATAAACAACTCAAAATTCTTTTTAGGTCTTTTTCCTTATTTTTAGTCTTTTGCTCCCACTAGAATGTTAAGTCCATGAAATGTAGAGAGTGTTTCTGACTTGTTAAAAATTATTTACTTTTTTACTATCTTATTCTAAGTACCTATCAATGAGTCTAGCACACAGTATGCACTTACTAAGTGTTTGTTGAGTGGGTGAATGAATGTAGTAAGCGGTTAATGTGGATCAATAATTTTTTTTTCCAACCAGAATGTATTTATTTAACATACATCACAAGGGCTCAATAAGAGACTTAATTTAAAAAACAAAACAAAAATACCACCACAGCTCAAGATACAGAGTCCTATACAGAAATCAAGGAAAGGACAGACCATTAAAGGAAAAAATAAAAACACAATATAAGGAGAGGCTGGATAGCCCGGGTCAGGGCTCCTGGCTGGATACCTGCTTAGAGTAGGTTTCTTGCAGGTACTTCTTAAAAGCTGTGGGGTTTTTCCAGAGCTCAGCAGCATGTGTGTTCAAAGGGCTATCAACGTTGGGTTCTCCTAGCAGGCTCTGAATGGAAAGCAGGATGGTCCTGACATCATACACGGCAGTCCACTTGTCCTTCAGAATGTCCAGGCAGATGTTACCCTGGGTATCCACATTGGGGTGGTAGCAGGGTGTGAGGAACTTCACCGTGGGTGCATTGTAAGGGTAGCCACTGGGGAACTCTAGGGAGAGCTTATACCTCAGGTCTTCATATACTGTGCCAGCTGCTCCGTGGGTGGTCCCTACCCATTTGAAAAGGTTGCCTGATTCAGGGAAAGCAGAAATTCCTTTGTCGCCAGACATCATGAGGGTCACCAGCTCCTGCTGTAGCCTTTTGCCCACGGGGCCCCGGGCGGCGCCCCCACTGGGCTCTGCTCCTTTACTGGCCACTGCGACACTTGTGGCAGCTGGGTTGCGGTTTGGGGAAGCCATCCCTGCGGCGCTGGCAGGGAGACAGGAACTCGGAAAACAGGCTGCAACTGCTGTGGATCAGTAACTGTACAAACCATGTCACACAGAATTAATATGCTAGCCTATAGATAAGGAAGCTATCAGAGAAGTAATATGACTTGCTCAGAGGCACATAGCAAATAAGTAACAGAGCTATGCTTTGAACTCAGAACGTCTCTTTTCACTGCGCCATCCCACCGCCCCATCATTACTGGTTCACCCTTGCTCCATTATGCCTCCTCTGCTAAGGTTCAGAGAACTTGCTATTAAACAAGTTTTAAGAATTAGACAGCCTATGTCATGATTAAGTATAATATATATAATTTCATTGGTATGGAATTTCTAAAACAGGAAACAGATTTGCTCACAGAGCCTATGCAATTTGCAGATACATAATTAGGAATTTTTATTGTTGATGATAACACTAGCAGCAGCAGTAGAAACGGTGTAAAATCTCCGAGCACTGAATGTGTTCCCCTTATTTTTCAAAATAAATATTGGAAAAAAATGTGTATGTGCATCTGTCATAGTCACAGTTTCAATAGTTCATAATTGTAAATATGATGGGATAATTAAAGTCATGGATTAACTTTCCAAATCGCCCCTGGAGGACCATGGTCAAATTTACTAATTAAGTTTAAGGATTCCGAACTTCTAGAAAGCAGGCAATTATGCTTGATATGTATAAAGCCTCCAAGCAGTTTGATTTTTTTCTAAAAATAGTAGATCAATGGTTATTCTTCAAATATTCATTTCTTTATTTCAGATCCAAATCATGCCTGGCCCTGAAGAGGACAATATTACTCAATTTTCAGAAATTTTCCTTTTAGGATTTGGGGATCTCCATGGCCTTCAGTTTCTTATTTTTGGAATATTTCTGGCCATCTATGTGGTAACTGTCATGGGTAACATTGTTATCCTAATTGTGGTGACAGCTGATTGCTCTCTTCACACCCCCATGTATTTCTTTCTTTGCCACTTCTCCTTCTTTGAGATTGTCTACACCACTACCATTGAACCCCTGCTGCTGAAGACGTTGTTATCAGCTCGTGTGCCTGTTTCCTTTCCTGCCTGTGCCTGCCAGTTCTACTTGTTTGCTTCCCTGGTGGCTACAGAATGCTTTTTCTTGGCTGTAATGTCTTATGATCGCTACATAGCCATCTGCAAACCACTGCATTACTTCAGCATCATGGACCACTGGAGCTGCTTACAGCTAGCTGGTGCCTCCTGGTTGGCTGGTTTTCTGGCACCCATTCTTCTCATGGTCCTCATTTTTCGCTTAACATTTTGTTCTGCCAATGAGATTGAGCACTTCTTCTGTGATTTGAAGCCCATCGTTAAACTGGCCTGTACTGACACTCAAGTAGCTGAGATGACCTCTTTTGTATGTACCGCTTTATTTGCCCTTGGCCCCTTTCTGTTGACCCTGGCTTCTTATATTCACATCATCTCCACCATTCTAAAGATTCCTTCTGCTGCAGGGAAGCAGAGGGCCTTTTCCACCTGTTCCTCCCATTTGATAGTGGTTAGTCTCTATTATGGGACACTTGGCATTGTCTATGGCTTTCCATCGGGGCTTCAGCATGAAGACTTGTTGAAGCTGCTATCCCTCCTGTATACAGTAGTTACTCCTGCCCTCAACCCTATAATTTATACCCTACGAAACAAGGATGTGAAAGTAGCTCTCAGAAAATTGGTGCCTTGAGGGATGTAGAATTGGTCAAAAGAAAGTTTGAATATTTGAGTGACTCTTAGCACTTTCTGAGAACCCCAATAAAGCCAAAATCTTTCTTTATTGTCAAAAATATTTACTGTGAAATTGATGAGGGTTTTATTTTGCTTGTTTCATCAATTCTTTCCACATTAATGAACCAGAGTGTGTTAAGCTGCCATTTATTGAATATTTTGTGGGTGCCAGACATTATGCTAAGTCCTTTGCATGGATTATTGTGTTGAATCCTCACAGAAACACTGTGAGGTAGCTACTGTTATGTAAGTCTGCATGTGCTAATATAGAAAGAGCTCCATGATGTATTGTAAGTGAAAAAAACAATGTATAGTACAGTGCGTCCCATAAAAGATAAAATAAAAATATTTATACTTCATTGTGGATTCATTCACTGGTCTAGAAAAATACATATGACTTTCATGATACTGGTTTCCACTTGGTAGAGAAACTTATGTGTAGGCGTACCTTTTGAAGTGGGAATTATGTAAACTCAATGAAAAATATTTTGGTTACCTATTGCAGATTAATGAAGTTTAACTAATAATTGCCAATCATACAAAAAGCAGAAATGTTAAACAGCCTACATTTATCTACCAGCATGGAAGCACTTCTAGACGCTTGCGAAGCTTCTTCTCTCTCACAGGCAAGTAATAAGCTCTCTGAGGATGGGAATTTTCCTACACAGTGCCCTAAAGGCCAAAAGTAAAATGTGTATAGAATAGATGTTTGATTTAACATTTGTGTCATCATCCAAAACAGGGCACCACAATATGTACTGAGCATAACACTTCCCAATAACTCAGTGTGTTCTCATTTCTGGAATGAAAATCCCCAAGGGGAAAAGAGTGAGCTCTATGTCTCACACGCTTCTCAGTGCACCATGGCAGTGCAACTATAAAACCTAGCAAGGGTCTGGCATTAAGTGACAGTGGTTATCTGGGCTCTTCCTAACACTATCACCATAGTGACCCTACTGCAACAAAAATATGACCATATGTCTCTGGTGTTTAATCAACCTCTGCCACAAGGACCCCCAATTAGGAACAGAATAAAGGTCTTCCATTCTTTGTGACTGTATAATTAATTACTCATGTTGCTTCTGCTTTTACTTGTTCCTTACTTCTCCCGGGTTAACCCCTTTTGATCCTTCAAATATCAAAAGCAAGTGTCACAAATTCTGTGAAGCATTCCCTGATCCTTCATCACCCCTCTAAATGTAGGCCCTCGTTCCTACATTATTAAAGCACGTTGTACACATTTCTATTTTAGCATCGATTACACTGTACAGTAATTTTTGAATCTGTGTCTGTCTCTTCACCTGTAGGCAGAACGGGGACTGAAGATCCCATTCTTTGCAAGGGAAAACACCCCCAGAAAAAGGGAAATGTTAAAAAGGAAGCTGAGTGAGTCGGAACAAAGAAAAGTCAGCTGGTTTGCCTTTAAAGCAGCTGCTTCTAAATTTCTTATCTGAGCAAGTTTCCTGCTTTTCCTAGAACTCTGGCGCATTGGGGATACTGCTTACAAACACCCCTACTGGGTCTGTGATCACTCTGAGGGATAGTGGTCATAGAAGAGGCTATGGCAAGGCCTGGAAAGATACATTAACTAAGGCGTTTCCTGCCCAGTAAACACACAAAGCAGATACCCATTGTGGAGATTTGCATTTGGCTGGGCAGAGATCCAGGGAACAGCTCAATGCCCTGAAATATGGGCAGAAGGGCTTATATCCTTTATTGCAGAGGAAGACCCTCTGTGGTGGTGATGAGAGGAAAATTCTTCTTTCCCACTGATCCTTCAGAGGAGATTGACACTAGTGGTGTTTTACTCCATAGGGAACTACCAGAGTTTACTCCCTAGGAATCTATATGTCTGACAGTCAGACAGGAGGCCGCCCCCACACAAGGCTCAGGTTCTGGATTTCTCAAGGCTGCTCAGACCCTTAAAGTTAATGATTATAAAAACAATAGGAGCTGATATGCTCACTCAGAGAAACTGCTGGTATCTTTGTTCCCTCCCTCAGTTTACCTTCTGAGCAAATAGTCTTCAACAAAAGCTGAGTGGAACAGACACTGGGGACCATGGGGCGGTGGTCCCCTGAGTTCCCACCTTTGAAAATTCTATTCATTGTCTCTTGTCTCTTTCTTTCATGTTGTTTCTAACTTTATATTTCTTCAGTCTCACTGCCAGTTCCACAGGCCTTAGCGGACCCTGATCCCGGGGCGGGACCCCAACATTCACCTGATTCATAAAGGTATTTATCCTACAGTATAGTTGTTCACCTGCTTAAAGTCAAGAATGAACTACATAATTTTTTAAGACTAGTTTCCAGTTCCAGAAGTCTAAGATTTGTCTTGGGGCAAATTTGATGGTGGAATTTGTGGTGAGGGGTGGAGAATCTCTTGCCTTTCCTCTTAGTGTCTGGGACTAGCACTGCCTTAAGCCCTTGAGAAAGGAACTCAAACATTTATTCATATGTCTGACATATTTGTTAAATATAAATGAACATATAAATACACATTAAAGAAAAATTTAAGTATAAATGCCTCCTATGTACTTCACATTATCCTGGGCACAAAAAGGGTAAGGTGAGGTTCGTGTGAATTTACCCTGAAAACTCTCCTGTGTAACCACTGAACCATCTTCACAGTCCCAGACATAGGGCATGTACCAAATACGTGTTCAACTAGACCAAGCCAAAGGAATATCGAGTGGCCAGTGAATAGACTTAGCCTCTGTTGAAGAGATCATCAATTTTTAACACTCATAGTCCTAACTCTGGATTTATAGGTTTTGGAGATATGATGCATTGCAGGTAAAAAGTGTGGTGAAGAAAAAAGGGAAGTGATAGTTCCACCTGAACAATTTAAGAGTCATTGCTTCCTTCATAGCACCAGCTGCCATCTGCCAATGAGAAGGCAACACGTCCATGGAGAGCAGCAATTAGAACTAATTGGATTTCTTCTTTTTAATACCTAAGACAGGGCCCCATTGAGAGCAGGTAAGAAGATCTATTAAAGGCAAGCTGTTCTCTGCATATCACTTAATTTAAGGTATTTAAGGAAGCTGATTACATGCCCTGATCTCCAAGGATAACTGAAGCTCAAAATGGTAGTTTGTGTAAGTCTAGGGACTTAATTCTTAAACCAGAATGCAAATAAGAAATTGTTTGGAAGAAAAAACAAATTAAGCATATGAAAGCAATGGGTCACTTTTGCACAGGCCACAGTTCAGTTTAGTCTATGTAAAGCCAAGC